TGCGAACGGACTGCGATGCCTTGTCAAGTTCTAAGGTGTCACTATAAGAGCTGTGAGCAAGACCGTGTAAAGTGCAAGAGAAGGGGGCACGCTACGCGTCCCTCGACTCTAGGAGTAAGCTTGTGGACGTGCTACGCACACCGCATCGCTTCTCCTTACCTTTCTATGTGACCGCCCACGCAACGTTTGGCTCAAGTCAATGCCCATAGCTAAGTGCTATATGTGTCTTCTATCCTGAGCAATCAGAGCTATCCCGTGCACAGACGAACCGCCGCCGGCAGCGAGTGCAAAAGGAACGGCCGCCGGTTCTGCCTGCATAGGATTGCACGTGTGGAAGTGTGAGAGAGACAGGGTCCCAGTCTGTGGAGAGTGCAAGCCAGCCACACCTATATTCATTACAGCTCTGGTGGGGAGAGCAGCAACATAATCGAGATCAATTCCCCACGCAATACGGGTTGTAGTTCTAGTATAACGGGCCCCAAAACACTATTTCAGCTATTAAGGCCCCTATAGTAAGGATGGAGATCCAGTTCATCGAGACTGAGCTGAAGGCCTGTCATGTGTTGGTTGGATTGGCGAGCACTGGCTCACACAGAAACAGCTGCAAAGATAAGTGTCGTAGAGGGCGACGGTCTGAGACTTTGGTACGGGAGGGAATCGCAGTGTAGAACAGCCCGACTTCAGAGCATTCGGCAGCAGCTTCTCTTACGAAGACATGGTCTTTCACACACACACACACACACATGTTGTTGATTTTGCAGTTTGTATACAGGGATGGGTCCGGTGTGCAGGTGGCTTTCCTGCGGAGATCCCTAAACCCCGAATGCTGTCGAAGCCGGTCTGGTTCAACCACGGAAGCCTCGCTGGTTCCTTCCTGGCGTGCTTTAGAGCCATGGAAGTTTCCGTGTTCATGAGCTTCGTCATCATACTTGGGAGCATTCACTGGGCCACCAGCAGCAAAGATCTGAGAGAGTTGCTGTCGATGGGAAGGAATTATTGGCAGCAGCGACCGGCTCCAAGCCTTCAGGAGAGACGCCTGGAAAACTCGATGAGAGAACTGAGGGAGAGGAACTTTGTTATGGGGTGCCGCTTCTTGCGGCATGGTAATTTTGCTTCGATGATCACTTGTCCTCTCGTGCAGGCTCACGATCGGCAATCGTGTGCTCTCTTCCTCTTCGCGTACGCCTGCTCCTATACGATGAACACTTTGATAGCCAAAGGAACTGTCGTCTTGTCGACGTCGGGCTTGCGCAAGCTCATCCTTTTCTACTATGCCCTGATGTTTGTGAGTATTTGGATGCCGGAAGCCGGGGTCTCCCACAGGGCCGTCTCGGTCTATCACTTCATTGCCTGCGTTTGCTACGTCGACAGTTCAGTTCATACTCCAGGTAGCCTTCTGATGCTGCTTGGTCGGACCTGCCATGGATTCATGGTTTATGGTAAGGAGTTTAACGTCATTGAGTTTGCTTTCGATCATGGATCATTTGCGATTCTCGTCATCATCTCCTCCGTTGTGCTGGAGCAGACCCTGAGGGACCGCTTGTCAGCACAGTTCAGGAACTTGGATGCCGAGTCCATGATCTCCGGTTTCCGCCAGATGCTTCGAGCTGTCTGTGACGGTGAAGTGCTGCTGGATGACAATCTTCGCATACAAGAAGGCGCTGGCTGCCTCAATCGGCTCTTGTCTAGCAGTGACTGCCTGGACCAGAAGATCTTTCCAGACCTTCTCCTTCAGGATTCAGACGAGCTGGAACGCTTTCAGAAGTTCATCTCGCAGCCACTGGATCTTCATTCTTCGCCTGCGCGACTCCCTGCCCCATGTCTGCGGCTTTCTTTACAGTCCTCGGATTCACAGCGAGCTGGGGTCGACGTCTATCACGTGGCCTTGCAGCATCTCTCTGGCTGTGAGGGCTCCTACCACCTCCTTGGCTTGAAACTTGATGTCGAGTCGCAAGCCATTCCTGATGCCGCCCATGAATCTGCAGGAATGGATTTGCTGTGCAAGTCAGTTTTGAGAAGCCCACCGGCTCGATCCCAAGCCTCCAGCCGATCTGGTGGAACGCTACTGCAGAGTGTTTCGAGAATGGAAGAGATCATGATGCTGGTTCAGGACAGGGACCCTCAGCTTGTCAGCCAGATACATCTCAAGTACAGAGAGTCTTCGTCCTCTCCCGCAGGGGGCTCCCGGATGCCGGATTTGCGGAGCTTGATCCGGCCAACCGACTGGGAAACGATCCGCGCTTCCATCGCGAGACATGCGGCAGGCGATCACTGCCGCATGGAACTGCCTAGGATTTGCGCGAAGGCCTTCGATCAGTCTGGCTATGTCCAGGCTGGACGCGTTTCCCTGAAACCGTGCCAGGATACTGCCAGGTCAAGTCGGGGCTATCTGTGGCTGCATTTGCGTGATCTGCGGTTCGAAGCAAAGCCTCGGCGGGCTCCCAGCGAGCTTGCCGATTTGGCCGAGATGTCAGGTTAGCTTACAGGGCTCAGGACCTTAGGAGTTAGCATTATGTGTAGTCGCACATTGATTCCCGAATGTTTGTGTTGGCCCAGAGCAACTATACAAAATCGCGCACCCAGAGCGCAAATTCAAGCTGCGCATGTGTTTAGTCGAAGGTGTTTGTATTGTTCCAAACAAACCCATTTCAAGGTTCGCGGCAGTTTTCGGGTCCAGATACCTGCTATGCAGTAGTTATACACAAGTCACTTCACGAAAGCTTGCTTTCTCCACGCACACAATTCGCAGGCGCTGGACCCTGCATATCATGTTTGCAAGACTCCCCCCCAGGAGTTGAAATGATCTAAATACAGAACTTTAAAGAACCATGGGACCGCCAGAGACGTGGAAGAAAGCGCACTGGGTGCGCTTCCGGACCCCGTCTTCGCACATGCTGGAGTTTCCGAAACAACTCGGACAACATAGCCTCCCAGATAGGGGCGAAGAGTAAGACCCTCACCACAATGACAGTGACCACTAATTACGCAGGACACCTCAGTTTCGGAAACCCACGACATGTTTCCCTTTCGAGGTTCAGCCGGTCCATTCCTGCCGAGTACAGCTGGCCGCGTGAAAACACCAGCACCGGAACCGCCTACATCTAAATGCCGAAATTTCCCAAAGCTTTAATTCGTTGCACTCCTTGGTAGAGGTCTGGGGCGGTCCGTAATCTGCCCGGTTTCCAGTCAGCACTTTTATCTCCATAAGTGAGGGCGTGCTGTGGAGGTGCCCAACAAAGCCGGGTGCATCCCCTGTTCTGCCAGCATGGCCTTCCTTCCGACCCTACTTAGAGGCCCGGGGGACTTAGTAAGTAGGTTATAAGTAGGGTTAGAAGTACCTTAAATGGAGCTACCCCAATTATAACTCTACTTATAACCTATTTACTAAGTCCCCTGGGCCTCCAAGTAGGCGAGGAAAAGAACCGACAAAAAAAAAGCGAACGGCGAAGCCTCGAGTGAGTTCATGAGCGGAAGACGATCCACTAGGTAGGCCTTTGGGATATTTTATATTTCCCCTTACTGGGCTTCATAGGACCCTATTTACGAATATTTGCCACAGGCTTTAAGGGCCAACCTAGTCCAGGAATGATGCGAAAAGAGCTGGCGATCGATAAGCCTTGGAGTTTTCAACTCAACGGTGAGACCTCCTTGGGTTTATGGGTTTAGGGGTTTAGGGGTTTCCGGTTCAGGGTTTAGGGTTTTAGGGGTTTAGGGTTCAGGGTTTAGGGTTTAGGGTTTAGGGTTTAGGGGTGGCTGTGCTGCACTGCACCATGCTGTCTCATGCTGCGATATGGTAATATAGGGGCCTAAATAACTATTATAGGATCCTTAAGGGAGGGTGGGTCAAGGGGGGAGGGTATAAGGAATCCTTAGGGGAGTGTAAGGGAACCTTAGGGAGTACTAGGGAGAATTAGGGATCACTAGGCTATATACCCCCCTTGGACCCCCCTCCCTTAAGGATACTATAAAATTAGCTATACTATTTTGGGGCTTCCTTTAATTATTGTACTTGTAGTATAACATACCCCAAAACCCTATACTATATTGCTTTGTGGCATCGCTTGAGTCGCCTCTTCCTTGTTCATTGATCATTGATCCGTCTCAACACGTCTGGATGGCATTTACCCGAGGCCCGCAACCCAAAATCATCAACCAGCGCCACCCTCAATCAATCCTAAACCCCGAATTCTGAAAGGAAGCACCCTAAAACCCTATACCCTCAATCAATCCTAAACCCCAAACTCTAGACCCTAAGCCCCAAGGTCCTAAACACTAAACCGTAAACCCCAAAACTCTCAACAATAAACCCCAAACCCCACACCCATCACCCTGATGAGCCCTAGGCCTCAGCCCGAAGCTGTCAAGTAGAGTTTTCTGTATACTTTCGAAACATTGAACCCGAAATATCTAGTACGGTTGATGATATAAATCCTGCATTACCCATAAAAAGGAATATTCCATAATTCCCATAGTTTAGGGTCCTTAAGGTAATGCAGGATATATATATATATATATATACATATCATTAACCGTATCTCTAGATTCTCGTTTTTTGCCGTAGTATTAGAAGATACCCTGACCCCTTGTTCTCATGATTCAGGCCCTTCTATTGCTTGCCCAAAACAAAGAATCTAAACCCAAACCCTTAAACCCTAAACCCTATAAGCCCCAAACCCTGAACCATTAAACCCTCAACCCAAGCCCTTAAACCCTAAACCCTATAAGCCCCAAACCCTGAACCCTTAAACCCTCAACCCAAGCCCTTAAACCCTAAACCCTATAAGCCCCAAACCCTGAACCCTTAAACCCTCAACCCAAGCCCTTAAACCCTACTTGGAGGATCGTGGGACTTAGTAAGTAAGGTAATAAGTACCTTAATTGGGGTTATAAGTAGTTATAAGTTCAGTTACCCTAAATATAACCCTAGTTACTAAGTCCCATGATCCTTAAACCCTAAACCCCAAACCCTAAACCCTAAACGTCAAGCAGCGGTCCTGCAGGATTGGTTCCTGCAGCGACGCTTTGGGATGGAACGAAACATGGCCATCAAGAAGGCCGAGCCTCCGACGTTCAGGGTTTCGGTTATACTTAAAGGATCTTGGGACTTAGGAACTAGGGTTATAATGAGGGTAACTATACTTATAACCACTTATAACCCCAATGAAATTACTCATATTCTTAGTTACTAAGTCCCACGATCCTCCAAGTAGGGCTTAATCAGGGTGCCGGGTGGGCAGGTTTTGGATGTCGGGATTCAGGTATTTTGTCACTTTCTGCTTAGCATGTGTAATTGTTGGTTGCGCCCCTACCTTGGGTCCTGAAGCTCTGAACTAACGCCCTTCAGCCCTTTTGAGGCTCATTGAGATAGCCTTGCTGTTAACCCATACAGTAACGCGTGAACAAATGTAGTCAGCCGTAGAATGTATGGTACTTACACTCCACCTTTGTAGTAACTCTCATAGTTTGTAGTAATCCTGATAGTACCCCTGCTTGGAGCTTCATGGGTAGTTATAAGTAGCGTGATAAGTCCCCTAATATGGGTTATAAGCATAGGTACCCTACTTATAACCCTACTTATAACCCTACTTATAACTACCCATGAACCTCCAAGTAGGCCCTAAACCCTATACCCTTCTAGAATCCCTATAGATCCCCTTGAAGGGGCCCTTAAAGGACCCCTGAAGTGACTCGACTGGCCAAAGTTCCCTATTTCCCAGCTTCGTCAGACCTTGGACGAGAACAACTTCACCGGCCTGCTTGGGGGCGCAGCTTTCTTTTCGGGCCTGGGGGTTTTAGGTTCTAGGGTTTAGGGTTTAGGCTTGAGGATTCTAGGGCCCTAGGGTTTAGGAGGGTTTAGGGTTTAGGCTTTAGGGTTCTAGGGTTTAGGAGGGTTTAGGGTTTCGGGATGAGGCGTGCAATTCAGGGTGTGTTGAAGTGAGAATTGGATCCTCATGATTCAGGTCAACTTCAGTGCTTCGTGCAAGCTGAAAAGCCCCGGACACGGCGGGTGAAAAGTCTTGGGTTTAGAAAACAGAAGATCCGGGTGACGTAGGGGCCTAAGCCATTATTCATAGTACTTCTTTGGGTTCCGTATAGTCGTTATAGTGGAGTCAGTTCAAATCATTAAGGCCTCCATTATGCTGGGAATAAAGACCTAAGTCTCAGGGTTGAGGTTTCCTTTGCGGCTTCCCTAGGGGGTTCCTTAAGGGCTCCTTTGCGGGATCCTTCGGAACGGTGGGGGTTTGGAGTTCAGGTTTTATGTCTGAGGTGTATGATTCAAAGCTATACAGCAGAAGCCAGAAAGTTGGAACATCATTATGCCCATGCCCTTAAGGTAAAGTATAAGGGATCCTAGCACTAGTCCTCCTAAATCATTGTTCCAACTTTCTGGGGCTCACTACAGGTTTAGAGGTTTAGGGTAATTTGTCAGGTGTCGGGCTTGAGGTCATGGGTTTAGGTTTAGGCTGCATGGTTTATGGGTTAGGGAACAAGAACCCAGAAGCAACGCGTGAAATCTTGAGTCCTGTCAGGGATTGGGGTCGAATCCTAAGCCCGGGTTTCCTCTTACACTGAAAACCCACCGCCCAACATGTAGACAATGTAGGCGCTAAGCCTTAAGCCTCAAATTCCTAAACCTGCCTAAATCCCAAACCCTACTCCCCAAGCCCCAAAGCTTCCCTACTTGGAGGATCATGGGACTTAGTAACTAAGAATATGAGTAATTTCATTGGGGTTATAAGTAGTTATAAGTATAGTTACCCTCATTATAACCCTGCTTACTAGGTCCCATGATCCTCCAAGTACGCCCTAAGCCCCAAACCGTCCCTAACACCAAAAGGGAAAATGAGGGACCCTTAATAAGGACCCCTAGGTATATACCCTTCATATAGCTATTATATACCCATAACATAGCCCATTATAGGGTAGGGGTCCCCTTTAAGGGTCCATCCTTTACCCCTAAACCCTAAACCCTAAACCCTATACCCTTATAGAATCCCTATAGATCCCTTTAAAGGGTCCCCATTAAGGGTCCCCCTTCCTTTTCCCCTTTGATAACACGAGACCCGAAGTCGCTCAGGTCCATTGCAAACCCTTCCGTCCCAGATGCTCAGAAGGCCCTGCGCTCGGGGGGGAAGATCATGCTTTAGGCTTCGAGGCTTTCGGGCTTAGGGCTTAGGGGTTTAGGGTTTAGGGCTTAGGGGCTTAGGGCTTAGGGGCTTAGGGGTTACGGGCTTAGGGTTTAGGGCTTAGGGTTTACGAGCTTAGGCTTCGAGGCTTTCGGGCTTAGGGGTTTAGGGGCTTAGGGCTTAGGGGTTTAGGGGTTTAGGGTTTAGGGGCTTTGGGTTTAGGGGCTAAGGGTTTAGGGGCTTTGGGTTTAGGGGCGGCTTAGGGTTTAGGGGCTTTGGGTTTAGGGGCTTTGGGTTTAGGGGCGGCCTAGGGTTTAGGGGCTCAGGTTTATTGGGCTTTTTAGGCTTTGGTAGGCTTGACATATCTCACAGGGATCTCTGGTTTAGGGGGCCCAACGGGTCTCTGGTTTGTGCGGCTCATAGGGTTTAGGGACGCCTAATATGGGGGGCCAAAATAGACACCAGTACTATTTTGGGGGGTTCCTTATTACATTTATAGGGCAATGGGCCCCAAAACCCTATTCTGATTATATATGAAGGGTTCTATAGTACATAACCCGAGGGAGAGGGCGATGAGAAGCACGGCGAGTGCAGCTAATGTCAAAAGCCAGCCGCAACCCTAACTCCCCGAACCTCCACGGCAGCATCAGGGTGCAGAAACTTGGTCTTCCTCAGGGTTCCCTCTGGATACTGTTCATTCGTTTAGAAGCGCCGCTAAGCCCTTGTCTAACAACTGCTCTGGTGATGAGAACCTATTTATTCCGGCCTGTATGGCGCCCAGTTCTTGTATCATCAGTTTCAGTTTGGGTTTTGGGGTATGCTTATACAGTATACTGGGGTTTAGGGTTTAGAGTTTAGGGTCTAGGGGCGCAATGAAGGTCTAATCAGAAGCCCCCAGATCCGGCCATCTGAGCCCCCAAAAATGTTGGGGTTTGTGTCTAGGGCTTGGGGTTCAGGGTTTAGGAGCCTAGGGTTTGTCTTAAAGCCCTAAACCCTAAACCCTTGGACCCTGAACCACCAAAATCTAAGCCGTCCATGAGGCAATGTACCATGAACCCCCACACTCCACCAAGTGGCCGTAAACATCATGAAGCCCTCGGTTTAGCATGTAGGGCTGCTCATAAGAACCTTACGGAGACTGGAAATAAACCCTAAACCCTAAACCCTAAACCCTAAACCCTAACCCCTAAACCCTAAACCCTAAACCCTAAACCCTTCTAGGAAGCCGTCACAGACCTGAAACCTCCGAGAAGCCTTATGGACACTATTTTTGTGAGCACCTGAACCCGAGAGATCCTCAGAGAACCCAAGAGAGAAGCTGTGCTGAAGCCCTACATAAGGGTCCCTTTAAAGGGGTCTACAGGGATTCTATGAGGGTATAGGGTTTAGGGCCTACTTAAAGGATCATGGGGACTTTAAAACTAGGGTTATAATTGGGGTAACTACACTTATAACTACCTATAACCCCAATTAAGATACTTATAAATTTACTTACTAAGTCCCCTGATCCTCCAAGTACATTCCAAGCCATTCCGAATTCCATCAGGGCAGTTCTCTAAATTAGGGTTCCAGATTTCCTACGGCACCCGTATAAAAAGGACCCTAAAAGGCACCTTCATGGAAACCCCAAAGCCCCTCAAAGGGCCCCCCAGAGATCTGCAGGTAATGTGGTCCGACCTCGTCCAGGGAAAGCCGGAACTCGATGACTCCCTCAGCCTTTCGCCAACGTTGTTGTTTTAGGGTTGAGGGTTTCGGGTTTAGGGTTTAGGGTTTAGGGTTGAGGGTTTAGGGGGTTGAGGGTTTCGGGTTTTGAATTGCGGTTTAGGGTTCGTACTCTGGTTTTGGTTGTTTCAGCGTTGCTTGCTTTTGGTTGCTTAGGGGTTTAGGCTTGTGTGTTTTTGAGTTTGAGGTTCGTGTTGAGGTGGGGAATTGGGAATGAGGGGTTCAGCGGCTCTTGGTTATGGGATCTTGGGCCAGGGTGTAGATAATCTTAGAAGAGTAGGTGCGAAGTCCGTGTGGTTTTGAGGTCGATCGCGGGGTTTGGGGAAGTTTAGGAGGGCAGGTTGGGTCGTCAATATCGAGTTTGGAATGTCGACAGTGTTAGGAAGTTACAGTTGTATTGGTCCTTTGAATACCGTCGATGTTTTCAAAAGTGTGGAAGTTGTGCAAATTGGTGGCTATATTAGTTCAGACGCCGCTTACAGTGGCGCCTATCAACAGCCTTTGTAAGACACTTACAACGACCCCATAACCGCCATGATAGGAAGACCACGTGTAGGCCGTTATCATCGAAAGCCATCCCGCAGAAAGCCTTTGTAGCCTTTCTCTGTCGACATGACAAGTGCTACAAGCAATCACCATTGCTAATTGTTCAGACCCCGTGGTAAAGCCCTGAACTCCACGGGTCATGACACGAGGCAACAACGCCAAGCAGATGAAAGCCGATCCTTGTCCGGCTGGGCTACGGCCCTTTTTTGCGGTGTATTTCTGGCGGTTTATGGCTTAGGAAGTCTTTAGGGTCAAGGTTCTTGCAGAAGGTCTATGGCTTGAGTGTTCATGGATTCGAACTTCAGGGTCCCATCACTCCAAGCCCCTAACCCTGATAACCCGAAGCCGTAGATGTGCCGGTCTTTCTGGGGGTGTACCACCTAAGGGTACGTGGTCTTGCGCTGCCTTGGAGCACTTCGGGGTTGTGCATTTTGCTTTGGTTCCACGGGGTTTAGGCTTTAGGGGCTCAGGGCATTTCCGGGGTGAAGATCCTGGGGCTTCAAACACGATGAGAACCGCGGAAAGGGATCAGGAATACCATGAATGTAGAAGAGGCTGGGAGATCAAGCATTCGTTCTATCGTTTTTGGAGTTAGGACAGGAAGGGGCTGTGGGACCGAAACAAGCAGGTTTCGGGTTTACAGTTTGCAAGCTAAAAGCTAAAGCCAGAGGGCCGTAAACCCACCCAGAATCGAGCGTCTCTTAACTCAAGGGTTGGGGCGGCGGTTGCTGGCAACATCAGAGGGTTCAGGGTTTAGGGCAATAAAGCCCAACCCAAAACTGATCGGAATTAGGGGAACTGTCTCGCTTTGTGGTCAAGTTCGGGATCGGACCGCTGAAGGCTTGCAAGGCCCTCCTTTCTTGGAAGCTTAACGGTTTAGGGTTAGGGTTTAGGGTCTAGGGTTTGGGGTTTAGGGTTTAGGGGCTTGCCTACCAAGGACATGTACAGCAAGATGTTCAAGGACTCCACTGTGCCCCGGCTGGCATTGATGTGGCTCTAAGAACAAAGTAGGAGGCAGAACACAGCTCGAATCCCGTCCGATCCACAAAGAATACCCTGCGCCTAGGGGTCGAAGCTTCAATGCTTCTGTACATGCACATGTACATCTCCATGTGCATCTGCGCAAAGAAGCAGACGCTTTCCTGGACCCCAAATCTCAAACAGGTAAACCCGACCTATTGTCGTCCTGCTAGACCCTGAGCCCGAAAACCCTCCAAGCAATCCTTCTAATTATAGTCTAGAGGCTGAAGCTGGCTTCGATCTCCCACCTAAAAAACTTTGAACCACAGAAGCTCGAAGCAAAGCCATAGACCCTCAACCCCCAAACCCTACGAGGCCCTAAGCCGTAAACCCCCAAACCCTAAGCCCTAAACCGAAACCCCAACTAGCTGGCGCCAGCCAAACGTGTGTACAAGCTTGAAAGTCAAGCGAAAGCTCCAACCACGTGATGCTGGAATCATGGCAACCTGAAGTCCTTCTTCCCCAAAGTCCACAATCCAAGAATCTCGGAGACTGCAGCTTGGGGCTTTCAAATTTTGTACGGGTGGTTGTGAAAATTAGCGTCCCTTTTTGGGTACCCTAAATAATGGGTGCCGTATTATAATAAGGACCCAAAAAGGGACCACAATTTTGACAACCACCCATATATTATGTGATCCATGGCAAGCCCCCTTGACGTTCCCTTTAAGCGCCCTTCAAACCCCCTTGAAGGGTTTAGGGTTTTGGGGTAATTTGAAAGGTTAACTTTTTTCGGGCTGGGGTATTCATACCCAGGCCAGAAGTTAGAGAGCCGGGATTGGGGGCTTTAGCTGTTGATGCGAAGCCATGACCTTCATCCGAAAGAGGTTTACGGCACAGGGTACGTAGTATAAGTCTTGTACCTGTACCCTAAACCCTGAAGCCTAAACCCTAAGCCCCAAACCCTAAGCCCTAACAGCCAGTACGTATTCCTTAGAGTTCCCAAATGAAGTTATATAATATAGAACCTTCGTTTCTAAGTTTTCAGAGTTCTACGAAGTCTATGACCCTAAGCCGCATGGCCCGAAGAAAAGGAACACTGCAACTAAGGACCTGGATCACCCATGTCGCGTGGCCGGGAGCACCTACACCAGGTCCTTGGTGGAATATCATGGGGAGCTTAGGTGTGGCAAGATCGAATGGATGTGGAAGGTTATCATGGGTGAATCAGGGTTTGTGAGGGTGTGGGGCTGGGGTTTCAGATTGCTATCTTAAGACCAAAAAGCAGTCATCGGTGGTCACTAGGCGTGTGCGGGGAGGAAGCAGGTTCTGGGATGTATGCGCTGAAGCTACGAAGCTCGCCAGTAGTGCTTTTTTGTCTCTTGTGTTTTGGATGTCTGTTTAGAACTGCACCAGAGCAGTTGGTAGCAGGGAGACCTGCGTTCGTTTGAGGCTACAGGGCAACCGAGGCCAGTAACTTCGGCATTCCATCTCCGGGGCATTGATGTTCCCTTGATCTGTTTATGCCCAAAGGATCCTAAGAACCTATATAGTAGAATGTACTGTATGGTTTCTATATCAGGACTTGCTATTACGCGGGAATTATCCCCCGTAACAGTACCTGGGACCCTTTGGGATGTTCAGGCGTGAATGGGGTCAGGCCTTCGGCTGGTTCCCAGTGGAGGTGCCTCCAGGAGAGCTTTAAGGAGGACTCGTCCGCACGAAAGATGTGGCACATCTGCAAGCAGAGGGATGGAAAATTCCAGGTGAGACCTGTCGGATTCAGTGCGTTTTGCTCCCTAAGCCCCAACCCCTATACCCTGACAATTCTGGCTTTGTGCTTTAGACATCTTGTGTCCCGTGTCACACCTGACCTGGAGAGCAGAGCAAGCTGAAGACAAGCTTTAAGCTTTGGATAAAGGCAGTCGCATCTGGGCACGCTGAGAGACGAGCAGCCCTGACTTATAAATGCCCCGAAGAGAACGATGAAACCTTCAACCTTGAGGCCTGAAGGGCTTGGAGTCTGGATTCAGGGTCGGAGGCTCTAAAACCCTTGTCCCCAACTCATACCTCGAGGCTCTAAACCCAAACCCCCCCGCGTCCTGCGAATCCTAAGCCTCAAATCTTTGCATCCCTAAACCTGCATCTCTTAGCCCTTATGTAGTCCCTGAATTCCTGACCCCTATCGAAAAGGAAGTGCCTTCCCTCCTTCGATGCCTTCGACGCGTGCCGCAAGGGCATCTTGAAGCAGTCCCTTGACACGAGATTCCAGTTGCGTAGTACAGGGGCCTGAATGATTGGAACAGCTTTCGGGGTATTATATTGTAGTAGAACTAGCGATTCCAGGGATGTAGGACGTACTAATCAGCATAGGGTTCCTTGCCAGGGTTATACAGGGTTCTATCAGGGGCTTTTATAGTTTATTTTGAACAGGGGTGGCTTGAAGCTTGGACATCAAAGTTTCCGTTCAGGGTTCCCATAACGGATCCCTAAAGGGCAGGGGTCCTTGAATAGGGATTCTGTGATACTGGGCTTTCAATATTCAGAATCGAATACTGTTCTTGAAACGTTCTGTGCCATACTTGCCCGACTATGTTCTATGAGGGCTCTGGCACTACAAGAGGAGAGGTCTAGGGCTTAGGGTCTATCGTGGGCTTTGAGCCTGCTCTCGTCTTTTTATCCTCAAGCAGCCTTGTCTGATAGCAAGGAGCCCTTGATCTTTTTTATTGCTCTGAGCCTGCTTTGGTCCTTCTTCCTTTTGTGGCTTTCTTGTGCAGTATTGGGCTGCCCGTACGGCTTTGGATGATGGTTTGTGAACATGTCTCCCTGGGCCCAACGTGAGAATCAACCACAAAAACCGAAAATATTGATCCGTAGGCACCATCATTAAAGTTCGGAAGTTCGGATGACTCCTCCGATGACGAGGCAGACGCAAGCTGTGGAGAACGCGCTCATCAAGCAGGCTTCTCCGGTTGACGCATTAGGGTCCTTGGGGCCTTCGTGTTCAACTGAAGTTGCGACGCCAGAACCCAGGCCTCGATACGGCAAAGGCAAAGGGTTCCGAGTTCAGGGTTTCAAAGGTTTAGGGTGCGTTTGTCTACACGATGCCATGCCAGGCTTGTCAGGTTCGTTCAGAGACACTGGTTTTGGGTTCCCGTTGGCACCCCGGAGACCCGGGACACGAACCTTGCTCCATGAAGCCGCGCAAAGAAGGTTCAGACCTTAAGACCCTGCAGCAGATGGCACACAGACGGTCTTCATCATTTCAAGCTTTCAAGTGCCTATCAAAAGGCCCAAAGGACTTCCCTCCGAAGATTCCAGCCGCCTAGACTGTGACTGAGTCCACAAATGCTACCACCAAAGCACTGAAACCGTGAACTCAAGGCCTCAACCCCAAACCCGAAATCCTTAAACCCCTTACTTGGAGGATCATGTGACTTAGTAAGTAAGGTTATAAGTACCTTAATTGGGGTTATAAGTCGCTATAAGTATAGTTACCTTAATTATAACCCCAGTTGCTAAGTCCCATGATCCTTTAAGTAGACCCTAAACCCAAACCCCATAGATGCCTTTAAGGAACCCCCATAGATCCCTTTTAAGGAGCCCTTTAAGGAACCCTAGTTGCTAACTCCCATGATCCTTTAAGTAGAGCACACTGCCAGGACATCGCCGACCGCCGTGCAAAGGCCCTCTTCGAGCGTCGCCAGATCCTCCTCGACTCGCTGAACCGCTGGGGGCCTTGGATGGTTTTGGGGTTTAGGGGTTTAGGGTTTCGGGTTTTAGGGGTTCAGGGGTTCAGGGGTTCAGGGTTTAGGGTTTTAGGGTTTTAGGGGTTCAGGGTTTAGGGGTTAGGGGTTCAGGGTTTTGGGTGGTGCTTGGGGGGGTTTCGAGTCTAGGCGGGGTATTGGAAACCCTAAACCCTAAACTCTAAACCCTAACCCTAAACCCTAAGCTTATCAAAAGGGTTGCTAGAAGGGCTCGCAGGTTTAGGATATAGTCTGTGGAGCCTTGGATAGCTACAGTTTCGGTGGCTCCCAGGATCTAATTTTCCTAGGGTTTCGGAGGTTTCGGGATTTCGGGTTTTAGGCCTGGTGGCCTTCCTTCCAGATAATGGTTCCGCTTTAATTTCGTGGAGGACGGGCAAGCGACGATGTTTGCATCGGGAGTGTCACAGTTCCAATCTTTTCCAGCCGCTACGTTCCCCTGTGCGTCCAAGACGCGATACCCTGCAAGTAAATTTAGGTGCCTTAATGGTTTTAATAGGGTGTTACGGTATTTCATTGTGGTGACATGGGGACTAAAAGCGGGAATAGCAATCATGGAGACCTCTGTGTTTACGCCTTTGCGCGATGTTTCGTCTACGTTTCGTCTACGTTGGATGCTTCAAAAAGATCTTGCAGACGCTTTTGCAGGATAGCGATCCCCCTCCACAGACTGCCCTAAATCCTAAACCTGCAAGCCTAATCCCCCCGGTTACCCCAAATGCGCTGTGCAGTGCAGGACGGCCCCGAAGTGGAAAACAACACCTGAAGTCCACATCCAAACTTCAAGGCCCCTAAATGGCCCCTAAACTCTAAGTCCCCAAAGCCCCGTACCAAACCGGAAGCTCAAATACTTTCAATACTTTACAAGTCCTTAGGACTCCTAGACTAGTTCTGCGAAAAGATACCCCAAGACCCTATTCCAATCATATACGAAGCCTACTAACAAGAGCCCTTCACGGAGCCCTTGGAAGCGGACCCGAATCTTACATCAAGGCCCCTAGACTCTGTAAACCCTTCCCTTAGACGATCCCTCATAATTACTGGGCTTTGGAGTACCATACTTTAATACTTTTTTCTTAATGGAACCACTATGAAATAACAGTTTATACTTTTTGCTTCTGGTTACTTAAAAGCCCAGATTAGATCCCTCCAAAGGAGCCCTTCAGGGAAACACCATTTTACTTGTCAGGTTGAGCCTGAGCCAACCTGGAAGACGATGAGCTCGAAGGATCAAGTCTTCACGGAGCCCTAAAGAGAGCAGATCGGGGCACCCTAGAGCTTAGAGTTCAGGGTTTAGGCCGTAGGGTGTGGGGCCTAAACACTAAACCCTCAAACCATGAGTGTTAGGGTAGAGGAACATGGGGTTTAGGGATGATAGGGTTTATCTCGCTGAGAAGGCCGCTAGCTCAACTTAAAAGACCCTTGAACCCGAAACCTGGACCCTAAACCCTCCCCTAAACCCTGGACCCTGGACCCTGTGTTATCGGAGGTGCTTTGCCTTGATCGCGAAGCCCAACCCGCCACCACCAGAACCGGGAAATCCACAATCACCTGAGGTCATATAGCACAATAGCGCCCGCAACCCCATTCTAATTTTCATGGCCTCTATATTGGGATTGTCAGAGTTTTACTTTTCTAGTTGCGTAGGTCTGCTATGCCGTTCGTTTGGTATTGGGATGGTACTCTGAGTCGCGAGGCAGGACTGGTTTTTCAACAACATCTAACTGACACATCTTTCCCCTAAGCCCGAAGCAGTTGTCATACTATGGTATATTACAGTATACCACAGTATATTGTACCATATTGTTGAATGTTATAGTATCGATGTGGGGTCGTTGTGAATTTCCTTTTATAGAGCCCTAATTATGGATAGTTTTTGGGAACTGTTGAAGTCGACACCTAGTAAACCCTAAGCCCTAAACACCGCCCCTGCCTCCCCACACATCTGTCCCTTCTGGCGAGGGAAGAACTCAGTGCAAGATTACCTTCATCTTCGTGGCCAGGAAACTTTAAATGTTATAGGTTGGGTACGGCCCCCACTCAGTAATAGTTGAATAATAGTCATAGTATAGATATATTGGGACCTTAATTGTAGGCCTACTGTAGACTCTTACTGTATCGGGGCAGTACCTAAGTTATAGGGCTCTGAATAACTAGTAGTAGTATCCCGTTTTCGTCCCTGGATAGTTATGCCATAATGTACCCCAAGACCCTATTCTTAGTATCAAGGCCCTGAATGAAGTCGGCTGCCGTTGCATATATGCAGAAGATGGGGCTCCGAGGGCAATCCTTCCGGCGTGGATGTGCTACCACGGCCTCGCACCCATGCTTTGTTGAGGTTTTAGGTTTCCGGCTTTAGGATTCTGCATCTCTGATTCAAGCTGAGTACTATAGAAGCAGTGCTGTTATTCCCCGGGTTCTGTATTCGAGGTAAACCATGAGTAAGGGTTCGGCATCTCCGAGTATCATGTCACTGCTGTCGCCGCCACCACCACCACCACTGGCGCTAGCACGAGCAGTCACTAGCACTAGCACTGGCACCAGGACTGCCACTGCCCCCACACTACCGCTACCGCACCAGTACCGCAGCCACTACCATTACCACTACCGCACTACCACTACCACCACCACTACCACTCCGGTTGGTTGGTTGGTGAGGCCTCCAGTGTAACTGGTGCGGCCCGCACTCTTCCCCCCCCGCATCTCAGGGCAGCTCCGGAAGCGCGACGGAGGAGAACCCGTCTTAGTGGGGTCCCACCAAACCTACTGGCCACCAAGCACCCAATGCTCCGTTGGACCCAGGGGACCACTACCACTCCTGATGCTGCTGCCGCTACAAGTACTAGTAGCAGTAGTAGTAGTAGTAGTAGTAGTAGTAGTAGTAGTACTACTACTACCACCACCAGCAGCACAACTACTACCACCACCACGACGACTACTACCACCACCACGACCACGACGACGGCGACGACGACGACGACGACTACTACTACTGCGACGACGACGACGACTACGGCTACTACTGCTCCTGCTGGCTCCTTCTCCTGTTCATGCTACTGTACAGCTCTCACTGTGTTTCGTGCCCCCCCATCCTGGTCGTCCTGCTGCTTCTTTTGTTGCTACTACCATCGCTGCCGCTGCCGGTAGTGGTGTTGCCGTTGCTGCTGCAGTTTCTATGCGTAGTACCGCTGTTCCTACCAGGGCCGTTACGCCATCATCTGCAACTATGATGGCCTTGCAGCCCCTCATGGGCAGCTTGGGTGCGAGGTGCGATCATTTTGGAAGATGGACTTTTTTACTCGACAGTCGGAGCCAGTTCAGACATCATCCGAAGCAAGCAAGTCATGAGCTCCAACTCCCACCCTAAACACCCCTACCCAAAGCCTCTCCACCATAAGCCCGATGCAAGACGACCTGAGAGAAGATTTCCTGGGATTCCCGAGATGAAGCTCCAACATCCACAAGCTAGGCATTTCTTTTATCTATCGAAGAGCTGCGAATCCCACCTCGATGGACAAAAAGCGTGCGCCAGCAGAGTCATCATGGTCACGCAAGCATCGCAAGGACGAGTAGCTGCAGTAGTGACCTAAATCATAAGCCCCTACACTTGAACCCCTAAACCTTCAAGCGGAGAGTGAGAGGTCGCGAAAGTGCGAAGACGTCCTTCGAGTCTCACCACCTGGCGAGACCCCGAACTCAGAGCCAAAGCTTTAGGCCCTGGGCTCCGGATCTTCTTAAACCTCAAAGCATGCCCGAGCCCCCATTCCCCCAATCCCTGGGGCCAGAATCTCAGCAGACGTGATGTTTCAGACATCGCCACCGAGCGACAGGTCCAAGCCTTCGAACCTTAAAAGGAGTTCTCTAGGTTGGATTTTGGGACATTTTTTATTTTCCGTATTTGGGTTTATAAGGGACCCTCTGTATAAATATTTTTCAGGGTGTTTAAAGGCCAACCCAGTTCTGGGTGCACCTCCGCTTGTTCTTCAGGCTGCGAAGCCTTGGACGCCGCCAACAAGGCATTTTTGGGGTATAGGGTATCGGGTGTAGTGCTTAAGCATTCGGGTTGTATGCCGAATTGTCGGGGCTTGAGGGTTCTCAGGCTTCAGGGCTTAGGGTGTAGGGTTTGTGGGGTTCAAGATCGCAGGCTCTGGATTTTGGGGCAGGGCCGCCGGGTTTGAACCGCAGGGCTCTGGCTTTTCAAATCCAAAGTCGTCCTTTGGGTTCAGGGGTTTAGGGTTTAAGTTAGGGGTTCCATTCCTAGATGGTCGCCGTTGCACATCCCGACAACTCTGTGAGTTTGAGTTTCTGTGCCATTGTGTACAGGACTGCACCCTTGTGTGTTCCACGGAGTGCTGTAGTTTTGTGTGGTGTTGCCATGAATGCCTCCGTGACTTTTTAGGTGCAGGCATACAGCCCACGGCGAATAGTCTTCGGAAGTGATGTGTTCGTTGTCGTCGACCCGCCCGGCTTCCTGGACCCGATGCAATACAACAGCCGTCTTGCGTTTGCAAGTCCGCCGCCGCGAGTGAGGTGAGTCAGCGCTCTCCAAGAGCAAGAAAAATCACCACCTCGAAACCCACAACCCTGACTCTACACCAGCCCTTCTTGTGAGTGTCCGGGGCTGAGGCCGAGGCCGCCAAAATGCAAAAACACCCAAAACGCCAGGAAGGCGACAGCAAGAACAGCGGGGGCCCCACTAAAGGGGCGAAAACAGCAAAAAACCCTCTGGACGCAGAGCGACTGCAAGATTCTTCTACGGGCCAGTGACAGGGGGCAGGGGCAAAACGGAGGCAGCAACACAACAACACCCCTGGCTTGATTCTGGTGGTTCTCATCACGACTCTATTTTTATTTATTATCTCCCACGACTGATTTTTACTGGACCAATCGCGCTTGACGGTTCGTGGGGCAGGTATTGCAAATGCAGATAGTTATGTCACAAGTTAGAGGTTTAAGGACCGAAATCTGGCTGTTCCGTAGGCCCGATTTGGAACCCTTAAGCCCAGTTGAACCCCAGTTCATAAAAACCCTTACACCTTACATCCAATTTATGAGCCAGTTAAACCCAATTTAGAACCCTCAACAAGCCCTGAATCGGAGCCTCCAGCCACCACAGGCTCCGCAACTTGCTGGGAGATCACGGCAGCCCAGGTGCGCAACCTTAGCTAGGCTTCAGGGATGTTGCGGGATTGGGCTTTAGGGTTCTCGGTTCAGGGCTTGTTTAGTGTGTAGCGTGCAAGTGCTGTTTAGTGTTTAGAGTGTGCAAGTGCTTATGCAATCGAGCAATGATCGCGGCCTGGGTAATGAGAAATAGACTTGCGCAGACTTTCCTCTTCTAGTTACAGTGGGACATGTAGTTTTCGATTCCAGAAATCTTCGGCTCGATTGTGGCTGGGGTGTGTAATTTTTTTGGGGCTTGGAGCCTGAGAAGTGATGATGCTCGTCAGTGTAGTGGGACATGAAGCAGCTCGACTTTCAAAGCACAAACTCCGCCGTCGCTTCGCCGCCTGATCCCTCAACTATGAACCTTAAACCCTAAACCCTAAACCCCAAATCCCTAATCCTAAACCCAAAATCCCTAAACTCTGAATCCTAAGGAGCTCAAAAAATCTCTGAATCCTAAAACCTAACCTTTGGTTGCTGGATAGGCCCTTCGGGGAAGCACCGCAGCTCCTTGTCCTGGGATGTGCTCACCTCGGTCCCGGGGTCGGGGGTTTGGGGTTTCAGGGTTCTTACCTTTGGTTAGCAGGGAATGGTGGTAGTAGTAGTAGTAGTAGTAGTAGTAGCAGCAGCAGCAGCAGTAGTAGTAGTAGTTGTAGTAGTAGTTATAGTAGGCCCCACAAGGGAGCAACAAGCCCAGCAAAATCACCCAAATATGGGCAAGAGGGTTACCTTCTAGTTGTCTCGAAAAGAGCACCAAAAGCGGGTTCGGGGGTTTTGGGTTTGCGGGTGCTTTAGATTAGGGTGGTCGTAACCCAGGGGTTGGGATCAGGTTGTAATCTAGGGGTTCGGGTAAGGCTAACAGAGCCCTAAACCTTACAAAAATTGGGACCCCCCGATGCCAACAAACCCGAAAGACTAAATCTCAAGTCCAGTGGATTTTAAAGGCCACAAAATTGAGGCATGAGTGTTCAGCTTGGGGTTTGGGGTGTAGGGTTTCTCAGGGGTTTGGGGGTTAATGGTCTTTAGGGTGTTACGGTTTCGGGTCTAGGGTTTAGGGTTTAGAGTTTAGGGTTTTAGGGTTTTAGGGTGTTTGTGGCTTAGGGCTTCGGAGTCAGGGTTCAGGATTTGGGGCTTGTGTTTGTCGGCTTTGGGTCGCACAAGAGGTTCACCGAAGCAGCTCACAACGTCTATGCCAAACTTGTGAACTGAACTATCCTAAGCTCGCGCGCCTGGATGACAACGCGGACACCGATGATCGAAAGCTAGGTCATAGAAGGCCTTACAAGTAGCACATCCTGAAGAGAACCGACAGTGCCTGTCTCCTCATCCCTGAAGCTTTTCGTCCCGTAACTGCTGCATCCTAAATGCCAAGCCCTAAACCAGCCTAGGCCCGAAACCCAAAGCTCTGAATCCTGAATTCTTAAATCCTAAACTTGTAAGCCGTCATGAAGACCCCTTAAAGCCCCTTCTAGGTAATCTTGTAGGATCCCTTGAAAACCTGAAGCTTTGCTCAGGTACGCAGCCCTTTACAGTCCGCTGTGGCTTCCACCTCCCCCGGCTCCATGTGCCACCCCTCCGGGGGGCTCAGGGTTTGGGTTGAGGGTTTCGGGATGGGTTACTACTTGGAGGGTCGGGGGACTTAGTAACTGATTATTTTAGGGACTTATAAGTACCATAACCCCAATTAGGGTCCCTTTTAGTGTACTTATAAGTCTACTTACAGAAATTACTACCTAGTTACTAAGTCCCCCGACCCTCCAAGTAGCATCTCTAGGACTCTGCCTGCAGGTGTCAAGCTCCCAAAAAGGCGTAGGCTTCGAGATTCCTGGGCCACAGGTCCTCGCAGAAAAGCCCACGCGCCTAACTCCATAACCCCACTTGAAGGTTCATGGGTAGTTATAAGGGTTCTTTTAAGGGTCCCTTTAAAGGGATCTATAGCGATTCTATGAGGGTATAGGGTTTAGGGCTTTACTTGGAGGTTCATGGGTAGTTATAAGTAGGGTTCCTAAGTAGGGTAACTATACTTATAGCTCCTATCAGGGGACTTATACCCCACTTACAACTACCCATGAACCTCCAAGCAGCCTATAATCCTGAAGAGAACCGTCGGTATCGTTACAGACTCCGCAGATGCTTGTCTCCTCATCTCCGAAGCTCTCCTTCCCGTACTCAAATCCAGACACAATCCTACAGTCCAATCCTCACATCTCAGACTCAGAATCCTCAAAGCCTGAACTCTGTAGATCTTACATCCGAGACTTGGTCCTATGGACTGTAACACTTGACAGAGTGCACCCTCATCTCTCTCTCTCACGCATTCGGTGGTCCGGTGCGTCGTCATGCAGGCCAAAAACAGGAAAAACCCTGGAGCCAATTTACCTCAAGGTGAGACGAAAAAGCCCGCCGGCAACCAGGGTGCACCACCTGCCAGGCGGAAGAGACAGGCCGGAGCCGAAGAGCGGAAGGGCCAAAACGCGCCCGAGACAAAGAAAGTCCAAGAACCGGGGGGGGGGAGGGCGAAGATCCGGGCATCTCCCGGTGCGGGAACTTTTGGTTAGTAGGGAATGGAAGAATGGTAGTAATAGTAGTTATTTGTACCCCATTCCTCCATTCCCTACTAACCAATTGTAAGGGAAGGGCAAGGTGCAAGGCAACCAAGCGCCAGCCGGGCAGAGAAAACCAAAGACTCTCCTCATGTCCTCACTCGAAAACACTTTAGCACAGCAAGCCCAGACTGCAGTGCTCGCCGAACATGGGAGTTTCCGAAAATAGGGGGCCCTAGTATAGTACCCTAAAGATCCTGATTATAAGGAGCTCCGAATAAGGTACCCCTAATTTTCGGAGCCCCCCAACATGGAGGATGGAAAGAGAGTGGCGGAGGATCGACTCCGAAGAGAGGCCGACCTGTGATGCCACGGGGCAAAGGGCTGACGCGGAGGAGATCGGAGAATTTCGTTACATGGAGGATTGTACCCTCAACTCTGAATTCTAAATCCTATAAACCCTAAACCCTTATTGACACCCTGATAGACCACTTATAGACCCGTCAAGGAATGAATCCAAAAACCCTAAACCCTAAACCGAGATCCAAGACTCTACACCGCTACGTTTGGCTCCGGAAGCGCGCGTTGGGTCGGGGCACTGCTGCCGAACCCCCGCCAAACGGAGGCCTGCAGTTTCCTACGAGTAGGTGCAGGCATTAGGGTTTCGGGTTTCCGATTTGGGGCTGAGAGGTTGGGGTGTTTGGGCGTCAGGGTTTGATCTGCTTCTCAGGCTTCGCATATGAGGATCAAAGGTCTTAGAGCATCCAAGTTGAAGTGTTTGCTTTCGTGGGTCAAGGTTTTTACCCATACTCGGGTGCCAATAGCGGCTGCCCCGGCAGCCACTAGCATGTGTATCTCTGCATGTCTGCCGAAGCTTGCTCGAGTGTTGGTGGTAGTTTCTTACAGTTTCGACCAGCCCGCGAGACCCCAACAACATCTTCACCGCCACTCGCCACTGCCAAACCCTAAACCCGAAGCCTGAACCCTAAACCCGAAGCCTGAATCCAAAACCCTTTGAATCTCGTCAGTTTTTGCTGTGCTGATCAATCTCATGATCGCTTCAGCCAGGTCGCTCAAAGCGCAGAGCTTTGAAGGATGGCTGTCATGATGATGGAGGACGTGGTTGGGGCTGTTGGGTCTAGGGCGGACTGTAGAAGCATAAATAATTGTCAATATTATCCCTTCCGGTTGCTTCTTTTCACTATGCAATAATCGACCCAGAACACTGCTTTGAAAAAATATCAGGGTCCGTACTTTAGAGTTGTCCGTCTAGAGAGTAGCGTTAGGGGCCTAGGCTTTGGGGATTAAGGTGCAGGTGGCCACGGTATAAGGGTGTAGGGCTTTGAGTTTAGGGCCGAGGATTGAGCGCGAAGGGTCTTGACTTCAGTGTTGTATCTGCGCTCTGCGGCATCTTCTCGTGTTCTCCAAAAAATTTTCCAAGGCTTAGCCAACGCACTAGTTTGAGGTAACCAGGATCCAGCGACAAGGGCAACATGGACCCTAGATTTACGAACCTGTACCCTAAACTTTGCACCCCAACCCTCAGTACGAAGTTATAATCCACGCACATCCATATGCCTAAACCGTTTAGACCTTGAAACCCCAAACCCCAAGACCCTAAACCCTAAATCCTAAACCCCCAAACCCCCAAACCCCAAGACCCTAAACCCTAAACCCCGCGCCCCCAAGATCCGAAAGCCTTAAGACCCCAAGATCCGAACAGAACGATGATTTTCGTTGGCCGGACGGTGTCTCAAAGGACGAGAAAGCCGGTCCGGAGCCCAGATTCTTGACACACCGGGCCGTAACGAAAAAGGAAAACACAGGCAGTGTTCAAAGCCGATGCCTTGCTTCTTGGAGTTTTTGGTGTTCGGGTTTCTTGGGCTCAGAGGTTAAACCTTTTTGGTTTCTGGCTTTGAGTGTTCTTTTGATTTCGGGTTAGAAGTCAGGGTTTGACGGTGAAGGTGTGCTATATCGTGGCTTCGTTTGCAGATGTCCGAAATCATAAGACTTGAAGCTATCCGGGTCCGACTTTGCGGCTTGTGGTTCATTGTGCACCAACTTAAGGATTCAAGGGTTCAGGGTGTAGGGCAGCTGCTAAGGCTGTAGTGCTGAGGTAATGAGAGTAGAAGCAGAGCCTTTTTGCATGATGTACAATCCTAAACCCCAAAACCCTACAGGACTTATAACCCTACTTATAACTACCCATGAACCTCCAAGTAGTTGTTCAACCTCTACATTAAATCGAGGAGGTTTGGGGCTCGCACCCCCCCGAATATGACTTACAAGCCTACTTTTAACCCTACTTATAACTACCCCTGAACCTCCAAGTCCTGAGTAGACTCCTTTAAGCTTACGAGGTACTCAGAGTAATGCTGTTGGGCTTTTGAAGTTTTGTTTAGTCTGACAGCATGCTGTGAGTCTCCCGTGTCAGCTGTACTTGGAGGATCATGGGACTTAGTAAGCCAGGTTATGAGTGCCTTAATTGGGGTTATAAGTTGCAATAAGTATAGTTGCTGTAATTATATCCCTAGTCACTAAGTCCCATGATCCTTTAAGTATCCTCTGTCAGGAGCGGCTCTGGCTTTCCTGCATTACCTTAAGGACTCTAAACTATGGGAGTTATGGTATGTTCCATATTTTGAGTAATGCAGGATTTATATCATCAACTGTTACAAAGGCTCATAAGGTGTTGACTAGGTGCTTACGGGGCCCGTATTGGGGTTAAGGATTTTTCCGTTAGTGTTTACACATCCTTCTGTCAATGGTATCCGAGCCTAAATGGTTAGACATAATATTCCTTAGGGTGGCTTCACGTACTAATGACATGTAGCCCCCCAAACCGTAGTGGACTCATCTTGCAGTTTGGGTCTCGGATTCAGGGGTTTGGGGTTTGGGATCCCATTGTCCGTTCTTGGCAATCAAAGCCTGAACTGCAGAGCCACGGTTAATCTGCCAGCTAGAGCCGTTAGTTGAGCCGGAAGGTCGTACACCCAAAACCCAAACTCGTAAAACCCTGAAATGCTGAACGCTGCCTTTGAAGGACCCTAACAGAAAATCCAGCGCTACCACTGTAGGAAACGCTGTGTCCATGCCTTACGAATCAGCCTTCAAGACGTCCCAGAAGGCGTACGCGATGTTTGCAAGACCCTACATAACACCTGCGGAGTCTGTAGGTCAACCCTATAAACCTACAAATCCTACACCCTAAACTCTCAACCCTAAACCCTAAACCCTGAAACCCTAAACCCGGCAGGTCAAGGAGGGTATTCCATTGAGGACCGCTGCCTGGGGTTTCCACCCCAGGGATTGGATCTTCGGAATTTCAGAGCACCGAAGTTAAGACCCGTAGCCTGAAGCCTGAAGCACAGAATCCCGAACCTTACATGGGTTTAGGGTTTAGGGTTTAGGGTTTAGGGGATATCTCTACCTGGTCGTGCTTCATTGTCCAGCGGTTTCTATGGGATATCCCTATTCAAATCTAGCTTATTTGCTGTTAGGGGCCGTAGAAACCCTCAATTGCCTTCAAGGCCCATGCTCCTCTTGAACAGGATCGATTTACTAGAGCTCCGAAGCGTTTTCGTGTTTAGGGATTCTAGGGCCTAGGGCCAGGGTCGAAGTCCTCGACGCCGTTTGTGCCTAAGGCCACCAGGCCTCTTCGGGCAGCTGCCTTTGACATTTGAGGTGGCCCTACACCCTGAACCCTAGACCCAGAAAAAGGTAATTCCAAAAATACAACTTAAACAAGCAGCCAAAATAAAATCCTATCGCTAAGCTTCCTCTCATTTCCTTGCATTGTCAGAGAAAGAGAGAACAGTACGCGAGTCTTCAACCCTCAACTCCAAACCCGAACCTCTCGACCCCAGTCGGTGAACCCTCAAGCCTAAACCCCAAAAAGCCTAAAGCCTTAACCCCAAACCCGAAAGCTTAAAACCCCAAACCCCAAGACCCTGAACCCTAAATCCTGAGACCCGGAACCCTAAACCCTAAGACCCTAAGCCCCTAAACCCCCAAACCCTAA